AGAGAGAGAGAGAGAGAGAGAGAGAGAGAGAGAGAGAGAGACTCCAGTCTAAAGTAATATTTAATAGGAAGAAGATTTGAATGCTGGAAGGTGTTTTCTTCTCCAGGATCACTTCTTATCCATTCACCCTTAGTATTCTACACTCCAGCAATAAAATGTCATTTGCAGTTCTCTGAAAAAAATCATGCTCTTGCACATTTCTGTGCCTTGGTCCTACCGCTATTTGAAAAATTCTTCCCAGCGTCTTCACCCTTATAACTCAAACACTTTCTTTAGCCTAGGCTGAGTCCCCAGTTCTGGGTGAGTTCTTCTCTGAGCTCCCAGAGCATGCCGCTATCCTCTACCACAGCCCTTACCATACTGTGTAATTAACTGCTTCTTTATCTTCCCTATAGTGCTATTGCCTTCCAATCTGTTCTCCATATTGTGTGCAAACTTCATAAAATAAAATCTTATGCTATCAGCTTCTGATTAAAACCCTTCAGTTGCTCCTTACCATCTCCAGGGAAAAGTTCAATCTTTCACAGGGCTTAACAGACCTTTTGTGATGTGACCCTGCTGAATTCCAGTTTCCTCTTGCCAATTCCACTGTTACTTTCTCCGTTCTACAATACCGCATTATTGGCAGTTTCCCATAGCAGGCCTTGACTGCTGACTTCCCTGTGCACTGACTGAGGCCTTTGCTCCATTCTGCCCAGAATTGTCTTCCCTGTTATGCATCTAACCCCTAGTTAGCCTTCAGGACTCAGCTCACATTGTCCCTTTTCATGGAGCCTCAGTGGAGGGCAAGCTGAGTCCATAGCCTCTTCTTCAAGTCCTTGGTCAGGACATATCTTAACATTTACCATAGTGATTGTCTTTGCGTATTCACTTCTCCATCTCTCCCACTAATCCAGCAATTCCTTCAGAGTCAAACCACTCCTAATAATCTCTGTATCTCCTAGTGTACATTCAGTCGTATGTCCAGCCATGGTGAATACTGACAGCATGGAAGCACTAAAGAATGAGTGTGATTCGTCCATATCGCCACACAGGTGAATGGTATAACCTAGGTTGCTCATACAGTTTAAAAGAGAAACCTATCTCACACAGCCAATAGTTTAAGTACATCTTGTTTGATCATTCACACAGATACACTTACTCACTCAATAAACATTCAGTCACTGAATATAAATATTCAGTCACTATGACCCTGGCATATGCTACGCCCTGGGGAGCCAGCAGTATGCAAAAGACCTGGTCCTCTGCTCTCACAGAAGCTGACAGTTGAATTGAGGAGACAATCACACCTAAAATCACATACTAACAAATAGCCAAAAACGTTCTGAAGTAGAGAGAGAAATGAGAACCTTTAATAGGAGAACCTGATATAATCTAGTGGGAGAAAGGAGGTGGGGAGAATCAAGGAGGGCTCCAGAGAGGAGGTGAAATTTTGTGAGGTCTAAATTTTGAAAGCAAACAAATTCATAATTTATCATTGTTGAATTTTTTTCAGATGTCACATAGATGGCAGAACACAATGAGCTAAGTGACATGACTATATTGAAGGAGTGATAATACCAGTAGAAACTTAATACATAGGTGCTAAATTTTTCAACTGATTTAAGCAAGAAAAAAATTTTGGAGGTACAGAGAAGGCAGCCATCTGTGTACCATGTTCTGAAGAGTACACAATAGGCTAACTCCTCCAGGCACAATGCCTGAAATTCTAGATTCTTGGAAGCTGATAGCTCACTGGAAAAAGCAAAGCTATAGAGCAGCAGTTCTCAACCTTCCTAATGCCGTGACCCCGCAATACAGTCCCTCATGTTGTGGTGACGCCCAACCATAAAATTATTTTCGTTGCTACTCTATAACTGTACTTTTGCTACTGTTATGAATCGTAATGTAAATATCTTTTTGTTTTCCGATGGTCTTAGGCGACCACTGTGAAAGGGTCATTCGACCCCCAAAGGGGTCACGACCCACAGGTTGAGAACCGCTGCTATAGAGGAAAGGATGGTGTGGAAGGTCTGTTTCTAGTGATTCGACCACATAGGGCAACTTTTCACTCCCCAAATGCCCCATTCGTGCACAGACTTGCAGGCCTCCACTTTGACTGTTCCTTCTGTTTTAACTGATTATTGCTCTTTTCACTCATCCCTGTGTACTTGGCAAACTCCAAATCATCCCTATAATCCAGTTCCAAGGTCATCTCCTCTGCAAAAGTTTCCTTGATACCTCCAAGTTAAACTCATGGTTCTCTCCCTTGAGGTAGTAATATAATTTGGAAATACTGCATTGTCGTTCTTTATAGCTGAGGCAGGTTGAGTCCATGGCCCCAGTCTTCAGCCCTACAATGTCCACATCCTTTGCTGTGTAATTTGCAGCGCTATGCCCTCTCCTCCTCCCACCCACCATATTGGGGGAAGAGCCTCCTTTCCTAACTCTAGACTTTGAATTCTGTCACGTGACTGCATTTGTCCAAAAGAACGAGGCAGAAACGACTACCTGCTAGTTTCAAGTCTAAGCCTCAAGAGGCAGTACATGTTTCTGCTTGCTTTCTTAAACCTATGGCTTCACCATGAGAAGATCATGCCGGGGATGGCCTATTGGTTCGAGGAGGAGGACAAGAGATAAGTGGAGCAGAGCAATGGCCACCAAGCCCAGCCTGGATCAGACACCACAGGCAACCAAGACCCGAGTAAGTCCAGCTAAGACCAGAAGAACCACCCAGCAGAGCACAGCCTAAAAGAGCCACCCATGGGCCAAATAAGCGACTATTATCTTAAATTACTGAGCATTGGTTGTGGTTTGTAATAGAGCAATAGTGAAACAACTCAACACTTTGTGGTATAACTAAGTTCCTCTGAGTAGAATTTGTTCTCCAAATAAGTGCCAGGAGAGGGATGCCTTAGTCCTCAGAGCAAGTCAGAATAAATGGTGAGAGGGCATTGGTTGGAGTGAAGACGACTAAGACCAGGAGGAGGAAATGTTACAGCTGAAGACGCTTCTGGCAACTCCATTTTCCACCAGGGTTAATAAAACACTATTAGAAGCCCTTTTCATTTAAGTTTCTTTAAATCAACTCTTGGGTAATATGGATGTGTAAAAGCAGCAGAATTGGCAAAATTTAGAGCGTGCACAAGTTCTCCAGAAACCTCTAGAAGAGAGAGCAAGTACAGGACTTTATGTTGTTAGTGAGTAAATGCAAGGTACCAGCAGCAGAACGAAGGGTGTGCCTCTCCCCCTGAGCTACAGAAGGGTGTTACTTCCACCCATGGAGAAGGAACCACTCGCTCTTCACTGCTATCCAGAAAGCTCAGGAAGCTACTGCTGTACCCTCCATTTTTTCAGATTTGTAATGCCAGAAAGACTATCAAAACCTGTATGTGGGCTGGCTGAGTGGCACATTGGTTAAGAGTTGGCTTGGGACGCCAGCTCTGAGCAGCAGGGTCCCGGTTTGGATCCCACATGAGGGCCAATGACGCTGTGCCCTCTACAGCTAAGATGGTGAACAACAGTTCGACCTGGAGCTGGGCTGCCGTGAGTAGCTGGAAATGGCGTAGGCTGCAGTGGGGCTAGCCCACAGCTGGTGTGAGCTTTTGTGAGCTGCCAAGAGCCAGCCGTCCAATGGCTGGCGAGCAACTGCCTCACCCGGGAAGAGCGCAATGATAATACCAACATGGGCCAGTGAAGCGACGTCCTCCACAACTAGACTGAAGAACAAAACAATAGCAACTTGTCTGTTCCCCTTCCCCGATTCCCCAACACTGTTCCCTCCCCCAATTCCCCAGTAAAATCTTTACCAAAACAAACAAAACCCCATAAAACTTGTATGAGCATCAAAAGGAACATAAATCAATGAGTAGGCAGAACAAAAACAATACCTAATTTTGGGGGAATCATTCACCTGAGAGAGAATCGCTAGCACATCTCTAAGAGGCAGGTCTCATGTCAGCAGGAGAATGAAACAATTAGAAGAGAACAAGAATAATGAAAGCAACGAGAAACCAAATGAACAACCCAAGAAAGGCTTTCTGAACTAACAACACTGATTTTAAATTTTAGACTTTAAATTTCTGCAGAACAAAAATATCACAAATACGATTGAAAATCAAATTAATGATGTGAAGACCAAATGAA